GTGACAACTGTTCCTTATAAGAGATTTTTTCGTTCCAAATACTGAAATCGGATACCTCCGATTAAAGAAGGAGATATGCTATCCATTCCACCACAACTCTTCTCGTGAGACCCCAAATCTTTTGAAGAAAAGATTAAGTATTTCAAAGTAGAAAATTAAAATATTTATATAAAAAAAGGATTATATTAATCATTAGAAAATATGTAATACACTTTTAAACTCTATTTTTTCCTCGGGTTTTCATCATTGCAACAAGTATATTGAAACATCAAAAAATTCTTTTAATACAAAGTTATCAACTTCTTGAATCATATTCTATTACTTAAGATCATACTGCACATGAGATATTAAATGGTTTATGTGAAAATTTTTAAGTAATTTTATTCTCAAAAGACTAGAAAAATCCACTTCAACTAAAAATATATATGATTTTTTAAATAGGGCCTCACATTAAAGTTTGGCTTTAGGCCACCAAACTTATTGAGCCGCCCCTGATAGAGGGTTAAAAATAAATTTTACCTTATATATATAGTGTAATTTTTCGGCGAAGGGGATTTGGGTAAACCCCTTCCGCCCCCCCGGAACCAAAATGTGGTTCTTTTGGACTTAAACTACACAAATAGGTGGTAAAAAATGACCTTTTTATATATAGCGCCATAATACCTGGCGCTATATACTAACAGTAACAGTACCGTTAAAGTATAGTGCCAGGTATTATGGCGCTATACTGTAAAAGCTGACATGGCCAGGTATAGCGCCACAATAGCTGGCGCTATATATACATCATTAATGTATACCGCCAGGTATAGTAGCGCTATACATAGATTTTCCTGGCCCCACCAATTATTCGTGACTTCAATAATTCAAAAGCGTATAGTGCCAACATTTTGGGCGCTATACCTATATAAAATAAAAAATTTCGGCTAGCCATTTTCTATATAAAGAGGTTAGGATTGTATAGAAATTCATTCAAATTTTTTTTTTCCTCTTGTTGAAACGTTTATTGTTCTTAAATTCTCCAGCATTTTTTCATTATGTCTGAAGAGCGTAGAATAAGAGTTTCATTATATTGGGGGGG